ATTTCCATTTTAGCAACATTTTAAACATAGTATGACATTAATTGCATTTAATTTAAAGGCACTTGCAATATTCCCAAAGCCATTAATACGCATTAAGAAAATATGAATAAAAATAACCATTATAAAAAATAAACATTCTATATTACAAGATTCTAAACGGTTTTTATTTTATTATTTTTATTTTAAAAAATACTTTAGTATTGTATTAAATCATACTTTTATTCTATATTCACTGTATTGTTTTTATTCGATAATTAATTATTATATTATATTATATTATAAAACCATTTTAAGTCCATTCATGACGAATCTCCAGTCCAGGGTTAACAACTCTCCACATACATGCGTGTTGAGGCGCAGCGCAACCGACCTTCAATCCGCCAAGTCATCCATATTCCTCATTTCATTGGCTGCGATTGAATTACCGCATTCCTTAACGCGTCTCTGATTGGTTGTCTTACCTGTCAATCACAGCGCCCCCTCCACCAGCGCGCCCTGATTGGCTAATGCCCCTTTCCTTTCTCTCCGTGCTGAATCGCGGCGGTGGGTCGAGTCGCCGCCGCTGATGGTGGTGTCTCCGGTCGGGCACGTTTAACGTTTCACCCCCCTTCATATTTACCATTCATATTTATCGTGCCCCGTTCCGTGTGCGGAAAGTTAAAAATGGCAGCGGTGGCCCGTCTGGAGGGCCGTGAGTTTGAGTATGTGATGAAGAAGCGCTCGGTGACGGTGGGTCGGAACTCGTCGCAGGGCTCGGTGGACGTGAGCATGGGCCACTCGAGCTTCATCTCTCGCCGGCACCTGGAGATCTTCACCGCCGCCGCGGAGGACACGGGCTCGCGACCGGGCGGAGGAGAGTTTTATCTGCGCTGTCTGGGGAAAAACGGGGTGTTCGTGGACGGGGTGTTTCTGCGGCGCGGGGCGCCACCCCTGCAGCTGCCGAGAGTGTGAGTGATTATAACCTTCATCTTCTTCGTGGTCATCATCATCGTCTTCGCTGTTATTGTTGTTGTGATGCAACACCGGGAGCACGTGCTAGTGTCCTTATGTAGCACTTTTTTTTTTCGTTTCGCTTTCAGAGCCTCTGGGCTGTGCCTCAAACCCTAGCGAGCTGCCTAAGTAGACCGCATTCACGAGCGTCATGTTTACGCAGAGTTTCGGTTATTGTGTACAGCATCGTATTTATACGATGCACGTAACATTTCTACTTATCGTAAGTGCATGGAGCGTGACAGACGTGTGAAGCATTTTTGAGCCACAGGGGGCGAGTGCAGCATTTTTGGACGCCTTACGTGCATGCAATATTTTGGGGGTGTCATAGGGGCGTGCTGCAGCAGATTAGACCATTACATGCGCGTGTAGCGATATTTTGGGGCCATCATTGGTATGCAGATATTTTTCAGGGCATTGCTTTCAACAGTTTGGGGTGTTATAGATACGTGCAACATTTTTAGGCTTGTGTACCAGCATTTTTCAGCAACAATAGGTGCATGCAGCATTTCGGGAGTCATAGGCACGTGCTGCAGCAATTTTGAGGCGCATTGGCGGGTGTAGCAGTGTTTTTGAGCAACAACAGGCGCAATCAGCATTTTGGGAGTCATAGGCACATGCTGCTGCATTTTGGGGTGCATCAAAGATTCTTGCAGCAGTTTGGGGTGTTATAGTTGCATGCAATATTTTGGGCATCATATGCATGTGTAGCAGCATTTTTGGGCATCATATGCATTTGTAGCAGCATTTTTGGGCATCATTGGTGCATGCAATAGTTTTGGGTCATCATAGGTGCATGCTGCAGAAAATTAGAGCATCACATGCACGTGCAGCAACATTTTTGGGGGCATCATGGACATGCAGATTTATTGGGCTAGTATAGGTGTTCGTAGCAGTTTGGGGTGTTATAGGTGCATGCAATATTTTTGGACATCATCATAGATGCATGTTTTTGCATCATAGGAAAGTGTAGCAGCATTTCTGGGGAACAATAGGTGCATGCAGCATTTTGGGAGTCAGGCACATGCTGCAGCAGTTTGGCCAATCATAGGCATGTTCAGCAGAATTTGGGGTGCATCATGGGTATGTGCAGCATTTTGGGGTATAAAGGGTGCATGCAGCAGTTTTGGGCATCATAGGCAAATACAGCAGCATTTTGAGGTGCATCATGGGTATGTGCAGTATTTTGGGGGATAAGAGGTGCATGCAACAGTTTTGGGCATCGTATGCATATGCAGCATTGTAATATAGGTGCACACAGCACCATTTTTAAGCATCATAGACAAATGCAGCAGTTTTAGGCATCATGACTTAAGCAATGCCCTAAAGATGCTGTCTAGGTAGGCAGTTCACTACGTTTTCAAACACAGTTTCACATTTACATGCATATTCAGACATATGCATGCAAATATCACCTGTAATAATTGTCAGAAATGTGCGTGAAAGAGAAAAGGTGTGTTTTATCATGAAATAATGCGTGTTGTTTTGTCTCAGTTGGAGTGTAAAATCACTGAGATGGTGAGATTTGTGTTAACTAGGGGTTTGGGGCTTATATCCTGACTCTATGCATCGTATGCTCTTTGTTTCTTAAGTGCTTATGTAGCTTTTTTTTGGTGCATCTCAGAAAAGCACAGCCTGTCAGTTAGGTTTGCTGTCAGCTGTTTCCATTTTCTTTATTTGTTTGTTTTGAGAAGATGTTGGACATCTGGGCGTGTTGACATTATCCTGAAGCCGACCTTTGGATGGTGCATTATCTGTTTTGAATGTCTGATTTGTGTTAAGTCTCACCCACGGCATATGTGTAGATTTGTATCTCTCGGGTATCTTTTTTTTATGCATGTCATCAAATCACAGCGTCGAGCACGACTGTAGTGCACACTTATCCCTTAGCTTTTTTAAACACATGACCCACATATCTCAATATAACAACAAATCTGTTGCACCCTACAGTGCCAGCCTTAAAAGCAATTTTGTGCACAGCTATTTTCAGCTCTGCAAATCTTTCTGTGGAATTCTGCACAGATTTAAAAAGACATATCACATCTAGATTCATGTTCATCTTGATATGCGGTGTCACATTAAGAGTGAAGTGAGCCCATAATAGTTTGGCTGATTAGCGCTTTCTAAATATGGAATCCTATGGAGTTGCAGAGAGATTCTTTGATGTCTTTGTGCTGACAGACATGAATAAGGCTTTTTTATAGCCAACATCTGTTTTAAAAGCTAGGGTTCTATGAAATCTGTTTAATTTGAACCCAAATTCGATATAATTTTTTCCCCAAATTTTGTATTTTCCATTTTAGTTTTAATGGTTTAATTAAATAGTATTAATCAAAAAGGATGTTGAATCCATTAAAGCGATAGTTCACCCAAAATTGAAAGTTATGTCATCATTTTCTCACCCTCAAGTTGTTCCAAACCTGTGTTTCTTTCTTCTGTTGAACACAAAAGAAGAGATTCTGAAGAATGTGGGTAACCAAACAGTTGACGTTAGCCATTGACTTCCATAGTAGTTTTTTCTATTCTATGGAAGTCATTGGCTACCATCAACTGTTTGGTTACCCACATTCTTCTTCTTCCTTCTTCTACCCACATTCTTCTTTGGATCAACATGAGAGTGAGTAAATAAACTATCCCTTTATATTCATGAAACTTTAGAAGAATAATTACATAATTAAAATGTTAACAATAATAGTGCCCTAAAATTTATATATAAAATTATGTATAATTTTTTGGAAAGTCTGTGTTGTCTGTTGAAATTGTTCCAGGTTCTGTTTTACTATTTAATACAAATTTACGTACAGTTTTTCTTTTTTCTTTTCAATAGAAGTCATTTGCGGTTTTACATTCACAGACACTAGTCCATATTACTAGTTTATTTTGATTAGGCCTAAGTGTACCAAGTTTTGATTCATTTATCCAATATTTTGTAGAATTCCATGACATTCCGTGTTATACAGTATATTCTGCATTTATGCATTTGCACTATGCTTTTATCCAAAGTGACACCCAAAAATGAAAAATGTCATCTATTCACCCTCAAGTTGTTCCAAATCTGTATGAATTTATTTCAGCTATAGAACACAAAAAATATGTTGGTAACCAAAAAGTTAACAGTAGCCATTGACAATAAGTCAGTGACTACCATAAACTGTTTGGCTACCAGCACATTCAAGAGATAAACTCATACAGATTCGGAACAACTTGAGGGTCAGTAAATGATGACAAAATTATAATTTTTAGGTGAACTACCTTTTTAAATTTCATTCAAGGTATACGTTTGGTATATATTCAAGGTATATTCTCTGGGAATCGAACCCATGACCTAAGTATTGCTTGACTTATAATGGCTTACTTATAGGTGACTGCATTAAAATGCCTTACAACATGAGTTTGTTTATAAATGTTATGCTATTTAGACTGCCATTTCTCTGAAGATTAGAAAAGAGCCGTGTCCACATACTGTAATTAGCAAGAAATCAATCTGCCGTACGCGCTGATACTTGCAGGATGTCCAGATGGTTTGTATGGACTATAATGGACAACATGTTGGAGGTAGAGACGCTTTGACTTTCAATATTGATCAAGAAGCAAAAGAGCATTTAATTAGTGGAGAGTTTCGCTCCGATTGGCTCTCTGTCAGCACAAAGAGCTGCTGACGTTTCCACAGATGTCATGACGAGGAAACAACAGAAACCATGGAGTTTTTCCAGTGTTTTTTGTCCTCCTTGTTAGGGAAAATCTGTGTAGCAGATTCAAACATGGAGAAATGTTAAAAGCATCCTCATTTTATAGAGTTCTTTTGACATTTCAGGCCATTCACCATGTAATTCAGAGCTCTAGACTACACCTAAAACAGTCGCATTAGCAACTAAAAATATTAATTTGCGAGTGATATTTTTGCTGAGGCGACTCTGGCGACTATGTAAATGTACATGTTATGATTAAAAAATGTGCATGTAATGCCTTTTTTCCTGCTTGTTTTGCAATCGTTTATAATCGATACTGATGGCTTCTTATTAGGGCTGCACGATAAATCGCATGCGATATTTAACGCGCATCTTATCAGAAAGCCGGTTCTGTAATCTGACGAGCTGCGCAAAACCACGTTCATATTCGCGCGATTTTTTGCGCAGCTCGTCAGTGAACAACGGCTCTGTGTAGTTAATGCTGCTCAATGTGAAAGCCCGCAGGTGATGGAGATTTACCGCTGATTACAGAACCGGCTTTACTGATAAGATGCGCGTTAAATATCGCATGCGATTTATCGTGCAGCCCTACTTCTTATCAAGATCTTTAGTCTTAGAAGCGTTGTTCTGTTAATGCGTGAGCTTCATATTATTTGTAGCACACTTGCCGTCCAATAATTACAATAAGTTTGCGCTCTGTTACCTTTTAATAAACAAAGTATCAGCTTAAAAATTCTGCCAAATTCTTAACGAAATTCGAACAATAAATACCGTTTTGGCGGTCTTTAATTAAATGCATGAGCGATTCACCTCAGTTCAAGCGGCACGTGAACCCATCATTTCTTTCTCTTTACTACTATAGTACGAAACAATCATGAATGGACATCAAAAGGGATTTTATAATATACAGTACAACTTACTGAAATTTCTCATGTAATGGCTCATTCAGTGTTTCAAACTGCGGAAAACGTGTAAAGCTTGTAAATAATGCCACATAACAATCATTTACCTCAGAATAACCAATCAGCTAGAAAAACAATAACTATAAAGAGGAGAATTTTGCAAAATTTATGTGCTATATTGCAAATTCATATTTTTACTTAACCTGTTGACATGATAAGAAAGAAAGCAAGGCGCTTAAAATAAAATTCAACACCTCCTATATAATTGCATGTTACTAATGAAGAAAAACAGGATGTGTGCAAGACATACGACAACATTTATAGGATGCATTGAGGAGGAGCCCAAACTACACTCAAGGGCCAAGT